AGAAAATTTACTAATTACATTTGCATCCGGGCCTTTTTCAATACACAGCAAGCTATTGCGAAGCAATCTAAGGAGATTATGTCGCTTCCCCTTACGAAAAAGTAACGAAATAATTACTAGAAAATTACTGTATATCAGTAATTGAACTATCAGAAATTACTGATGTACAGTAATTTTCAAATAATTATTTCGGTACATTTCCGCAAGGGTCGCAATAGATGGAGATTGCGAGCAACACCGCACTGCTCAAGTACTTAATAATTCGCGCATTATTGGTATCAACGAAAATAACATTATAAAATTCTCGTAATTAGAAAAATTTTTTAAATAGAAAATATAGTATTTTTATTATTTTTGAAACATTACTGCAATATTGCTATCGAAAGTTTGCAATTTTATATCCCTGCAATGTCTCTGCAAGATTGCACTGCAATCTGCAAGATTGCAATGTTTCTGCAATGTAACTGCAACCATCTGTGCTGTATGGGATAGCACATTTGAATCCTTATGACATTTATTATGTTTATCTCGTTTTTTGTTAAGACCTACTTTTTCTATAAAATAAAATTAACCCTCAAAGTGCTTCTGCGAGCGATCGGCCTATAACCCCTATCCCAGCGAACACCGAGTAACAGTTACATAATATCCATATTATAATTTCCTACTTAACAATGGAAATGTAATATAACATGGGTGTTATATTACATTTATCTTGTTGCGTAGGAAATTATGGTATTGATGTTATGTAACTGTTACTTGGTGTTTACTGAAATGTTAAAAAGTGCAGCTTTAATTTTTTTTAATTTTATTTTATCAGCGACCGGGTCTGAAATTTCGCGTACTGACAGATAAAATTTACAAGTACAACATACTTAAATTTCAATTTCTTCTACTTTCAGTCGATTTATGCAGGAGCCACCTTAAGTGACTCTCTCCTATTTTGAGAAAGTATCGGGTAATGCGCTCGTTTGTTTTGTCCTTTTTCTGCATGTCAATAACGATAAAGAAATATTAGAAAAACTAGGTAGACAAATGTGTCAGGCAGGAATAAGCGTGCAAACGAATTAACACATTGTGTATGTACGCTGCGAACACGTGCGAGTTAAGGATACACCTTCTCGACAGAAGAGGTACGATTAACAAACGAGAAATGCGCTATTTTTTTTGACGAGGCACATATTTGGTCTATTTCGTTAGCGTTTGGTTTGTATATACCAATCTATCGAAATTGCTCCCCTACGTCGTCGCAAGCGTGACGTTACAATCCAAACAGCTCGTTCCGGGTAAGCAGAGGATCATATTTCTTTCCTTCATCACGTTATATCACGCGACACATGTACAACAGTGCAATGAACAAATCGTTTAGCTTTTCTGACGCCTCGCGATTGAACACAAATATTTGATCGAATGATGATTACGTAACCGAAAATTACATTCAGCTCTTGTAACAAACAATGTTATATAATTTCGAGATTTCACGACACTATCCAATATATACATATGTATGTCCGTACTCTGATCAACTCTTTAAAATGTTCCTGTGGGTATCTTCAGTAAATTATCTCTATCTACGGTTTTACGATTCGCTTTATTCATATCTTCTTTACAGAAATGTTTCGTGGTTCGGCATTTTCAAGATGTGGCAAGGCCACAAAATCCACGCTGTTTACGCTTGAAGGTCTTAAGAAAAATTGGGAGGTGAGCCACATTAATGCGACTCACGTTGATCAATCGTTAATTTGAGGCAAATATTTAACCGAAAAGATCAATATTAAAGGGAAAAAGCGTCAAAAAGCTAATCTTTCTTTTTTCGTGTCTTCAATACGCCATCTGCATCAACGTATAAAAAAAGATTAAATATTTTAACAAAATTTTAGGAACGCACAGATAAATAATTACATTAAGATTACGTTTTACATTAAGAAAAGCGAAATTGTACATTCACAAACTTATGCGCTTTTTATTTTAGTTTTCCAAAAATTTGATATCAATTACATTGGCACTATCAACTTTTTTAATATTTGAATCTCACGTTATTGTCTCCTGTTATCGATTTCATGTTGTTAATCGTACGCATTCGCGCGATGAAAATTAAAATAAAATATCCACTTACCTGAAACTCCTTCCTCCATTGGAAAATAAGAATAGTCGAATTTATCTGGATTTACTCTCGACAGAATTTATTCGCAAGAACGCAATATATATTGTCCGCTCGCAAAACTATTTTCCCTGTGTTAAATTTTTATTTCGACGGCTTTACTGCTCCGCGCGTAGCAGGATCGAATGTCTCATGGATGGCCTACACGTAGGCACAGTTTTCCGACAGACCTGCGCTATCAACCCCCTCCCGTGCCTCAGCCACCCTCGGCAACCGCTCGTTCGAGATGGTCTGCACGAGACCCATATATTTCCTGAGATACGTTCCGACGGTGCGAAGCATCGTCCAGAATTCTCACGGGAAAGACCGAATCCCTTTTTCCCTGTGTCCCTTAAGTATTAACGTGGAGAATTTCGTAGGTGGTCTCATAGTAAAATTTTCACGAATTAATTCGATATGTAACTAACACTCCTACTTCTATACAATGGAGTAGACAGTCTGAATCTCCCGATCAAGAATAAGTTTTTTTTTTCGAAATGAACTCAAACACGAAGTGATATTTTCACTAAATAATCGTTTCGGATGGTGAAACCCGCATAATTGTCGATAATCGAAAGATATGGAATCGAAGTACCATACTCCTCGGCTATTGAATATTTAACATCCGCATTTTGTATCTCGCACAGGATCTTTATTTGCATCTTTTTACACATTTCGCTCATCAATCTGTGTTTGACAGCGTACCATTGAGCGCCGGTATTCTTTCGAGAGGAAAACTTTTGTATAATCCGATTATACAATTGTATTAAGTCAAATTGAAACAAATGTCGAAAACTAATTTACATGAAAAAAATGTAATAACCAGATCTGCGAGTTGTTGCACAATTCCATTTCAGTTACATCCGCGTGCTTAATTTTTTTACGTAAGGTCAACGAGTTCCCAATGCCCGCGATTCGGTATCACCGGCGTGGTCTAGTCAGGGTGTCTCGTGGAGTAGTTGGCATGCAGAGCCAGTCCGCGGGATACTTTCTTCCTTTTTTATTCGCTTCAACTTTTTCATACCAGTCTTACCCTCTTTCTTCACCGCCACCGTCGTCTTCTCCTCCATCCTCCCTCAAGCCTTGTCCAACTTCGCTACGTAATGCAGCCAGCTATATTGAATATTTCGCCGTAGTAAAATGATAAAGAAATCCTCGGCAAGCTTCTTGGACTTATGTGGATATAGAACCGTCGCCCTCGTTACCCTCAGAAACGAGATGGCACATCAACAAGTAACTGCTGCAAAGTGTTCATTAATTTCGAGAAAACCTAAGAAGAGAATTCTAACAGTTTTAAGACCAAGTGATCAATAAGATTTTGCCTCAATCAATTTAGTCTTCGTGCATCCTATATTACCGAACATTTTTCAAAAGTTTCAGTTTTCTCACATTAGTTTTTTTACATCTAAGATAAATATTCCATTCAAGAATTTTCTATTGTTTATTATGCAGGATGTTAAAAGGAATTAAACAAAGAAGTTAATTTTTTTCATTATTTAAGTACAGAAATAATTTTCTCTGCTGTTAATGCGACGAACGCGTATTTTTTTTACGCAAAGAGCATATTCTCTTTATACAAGAACTGCCCGTCGTTGTTATTGTTTACTACAATATTTGCAACTGTGTTGATAAATTTCCATCCATAAATGTATAGATAATATTCTCTGCATAGGTAATGTTTCTCATGCCTTCTAAGACCTAACGCGAGTGGAATAATAGCGAAGGGAATTCCCCCTGGAAGCCTTTACGATCGCAGCTACAGAGCCTTTCACATAATACAGTCCTCCTTTTCTTGCGATTATCGTCGATGTGATTATCATCATGTATATTATTTCATCAATATAACATATATTTTTATGGCGTTCTAGATTTCATAAATGTATAAACCAATGACTTCTATAAAGAAATATAACGTAACGTGCATTATCATATGTTTGAGAGTATCAAATTTTGAAATCTCGCTATATTTTTTATTAAAATTTTTCCTGCCGTTATTGATATTTGTCGATTATTACCCGTTATTAAAATAATCTAAAATATAAAATGAAATAAAAATGTAACGTCTATAGTAGAACATTTTATGTACAAGACTACTTGGGATATATCTCATTATTTTAATGACTCAGCCACTTGCCAGGCGACAATGCCAGTCTGTCCAAAGGGAATATATTACGCGAAACGCTTAAAAGGATCTGGACGATGCTGTAGAGAAGATGACATTTTCTTCGGTGCGACATTTAAGGCATCCTTGCTCCCAGCAGTATCTAGTCTAAGTATAGGCGAACTATGGAGCCATTTCAAAATTGAAGGGGTGGATACACAGGGGCTGATATAGACACTCGTGCAACAAAATCATGGGTAGGAAATTTATTCCATCTTCCCCATGCACCGCCGATATTTTTCAATCTATACGCAGTACGTTTCTTCGTGAAAAATCGCGAGGCGGGGGGTAACACGAACAATTGTACGCGGGACTTGTCGATTTTCTTTTTAAGGAGACGGATAGGAGGGAGCGGCGCACAAAAAGGTTACGGAATTTCCGGAACAGCTTTCGGTACAGAACGAGGTAGGGGATGCACTTCAGTTGACGCGGGCGTACGTAACGCGTGCCCCTGGGGGGTCGCAATATCGATCTCCCCTTTGCCCCTCGCATCTCCCTTGCGTATTACCTCCTCCATGTCTGTTCGTTCAGCAGCATATCAACAGCGGACAGCCCGAATTGTACAAACCTAATGGAATATATGCCTTCCTGAGAAGCCTGCCGTCCTTCCTGTGTGAATTTATTCGACTGAAGCTGGAGAGCCGCATTCGTCGACGATGATATATTAAGGGAGTCAAAACGCCGAAAATAAAAAAAGGACGGTTTTGGGAGGGCGTGGGTTTCATCATTTATTTTTTATCATTCCCATTCTCGTTTTCAATAAATAAAACGAGACAGGGGACTATAACACAGAGGAGAAAATTAGTGATTTAGGTGCTTCGGCCGGACGCATCTGGTTCTGCATTCCAAATTTTCCACTCAATTCGCTTCTCCGTGAAATTTTCGCTATGTATAACTCGCAAAGTCTCTCTCGGTTAAAAAAATTTGACGTATATCTCTGGAATGGTGCCTTACGATACAATTGTATTCGAATGTGTATGGAGGATCTTGGAAATGCACAGAGGGATTTACACGACGGCTTGAGTATGTTGATTAAAATATATATATATATGTATATGTATATATGTACATAATAGCGATAATATCATTAATAATAAAGTTAATATGGTATAATGTGATATCAAGTGATCCCACGAAGGGAACAATTGTCGATTCGTTGCTACCGTGAATACCTTCCGAGGATGAGTTAGAGACGCTCTCTTCGGATACTCTTGCACTTGGCCGTTCTCCTCTTCCGTTGCACAAAACTTTGTAGAACGCTGTCCTTGGGAGAGGGTAGGTAGATGTTTTTGTGACTTACGCATCCTCCCGTTGTGACGTATGCTGTTACGATTTTGAAAAAAGCCCTTGATCATCCCAGCCAGCTAGAACTTGGCCTAAACTTGCAAAAGTATCGAGCGCGCAATATCACTCTTAGAGAATTAAATTATCACTTAGAGCCCAAGACCTCGCAGGGTTCGATATGTCGTGATCTGTGCGGTTAACACACCGACTATCCGATCGTGATTAACCGTGCCAACTTTTCAAGTCTTCTAGTCGATGTTACGTTACGTATTTTCGTAGTAGATCGTTCCTATCGACTGACGTCGCTTGTCGCGATAGTCGATGTGCTAATGGAAACGACCACGCGCGCAAGCAAACAGACTACTACACTATTGTATTATCTATCATTAAAATTACTTCACTTTCCATCGTTTTAATGTCAACTTGGAATCTCCCTCTTTACGGGCATTCGCAACAATATTACTGTTCGCGTCTTGCGAATTAGTAACATCTAATCTAAAATATGTCGTTTAAAGGCTATTTAGATCATATATACTATTATACAATTTGTACTTGAAGTAAACATACAAAAAGCACTCGTCTATTCACTAGCTCCCTTAGCACTTATGAACATAATGTGCACGAAGAGGTGCGCACAAGGTACCACAAAATAATATCCAGACTTACAAATACGGATAATATATCGATCAGTTTCTACCCGTTTGTTTGCGCCGCAGTTTTGCTTAGCGCGTTCACGTGGAAATAAATGACAATTCCTGTAATAATTTGTTGGTGTTGAGGCCGACAAAGCTACGAATATTCATCGGTATCTCTCGTTCTATCACAGGCATGAATACTCCGGCGCATTTTTATATACAGAGTGTCCCAGGAAGTAAGGTCAATATTCTGGGAGGTGATAGTATCGATCATTTTAAGCAAAAATGTTCATATGAATATATGTCCCATTCCCCACTGTTTCTAAGATAGAGCACATTTTGTCGACGTCCTCGTTCAGATAAAACATGAACACCGGGAAGCGTTCCACTTTCACGTAACGTATTGAAAACCTTAGAAAACACTTTACGATTCGGAATTCTGCGTGTAGGGAAGCGTCGACGGTATTCTTCAACAGCAGCAGCAGCAGCACTACCACTTGTGAATACGTGAGGCATTTTGAACATTTCTACAATGTTATCAGCGCAACAGTCAACAGACGTATAAGAATAAATTCCCGCAGACGTTTATGAGGCTGGATGAAGGGTCAGGTGTACAGAGAAAAAGTAAATACACGAGACATTCAAGTAGCTCTATCTCGGAAACAGTGGGGAATGGGACATATATTCACATGAACATTTTTCCTTAAAATGACCGATACTATCACCTCCCAGAATATTGACCTTTCCTTCTGGGACACCCTGTATACATATACATATGTTTTTGTATAATTACATAAGCATATTTACATATGTATGTCATATATGTATTTTTTCTCGGATCTTGTATTATTTTTCAAATAGAACTTAAGCAAAGGGAAAATTCACGCAAGTTTTGATATTATAAATCAAATACGGATGCAATTTGCCAACAATGAAAATAGTTGATATGTTATGTCTCTCTATTCGTACGGATTCTAATTTATATCACATAATTTCTTGTCCTATCCCTGGTAAGAATTCTTCAGAAACGTCGTTTCTTCTCGAAACATTTCTAATTGTCTGCTAATTATCTACTTCGTCTACTAATGAGAATCCCTATCGAATTTTTATTTCACGCAGAAAATTCTATTAATCCGTCTCGATATTATGAGATTTCTATAATACATTAGGCCATATATCGTGATTAATGATATCGAGGGTTAAATCCCAACCGCATGTATCCCCAAAATCAGCTGTAAAAAGATTAAATCTTCCCATTTTGGTCTCATAAGTCTCCTTATTTGTCACTACTCATTGACGAGTTTACGTACAATAATAATCTGTCTCCGTTGCAATTAACGCAATTCTCCTCTATGCAATATGCATTATTACCGTAGTTTTTCGATCAATAATCTCATGTTTCTTAGTTCGATTTACTAATAACGGGCAATGCTGATATTAAAAGGTCGATATGCGATCTTCGGAGTGGTTTAAGGTATCGGTAAGGTATCGTTGCGGTAGGCGAAGGGATCGATCGCGTATCAGGTCGCATCGGGCAACGATAACAGGTATCGTGAAAGTTCTGATACAGAATGTCAACATTGTGTAATATTGTAGACAGGGAAATGAAATTAAACGCTCGATAAGATACGGCTGGGTACTCTCCGCGGAAATGTCTTCAGACTGGATAAGTTGCTCGATCAATTATTAATGAGAATTACGTGTGTCAAGGGCCGTCTACATGAATAACTATCTGCAAGGCGTGACGAATGAATTCGACGCGAGCTTCCGCAACTTGACGAAAGCGCGATAACGCGACCGTCGCGAAATAATTGCGCGGTGCAATTAGCGCCACATCGATTTTTGGTCGAGCGAAGGAAGGGGGCGGAGAGAAATTATGCTAAAGAAAAGGAGAAAAAATGTAACGATCTATTCCCTGACATCGCACTCACCTCACTGGCGCTTCCCGCTGCTTGTCGGCGCGCACGCATTAATGCACCTCTACTTCCCGTAATTGGTAGCCATAGTCAGATCTACGCATCAAGTCTACTTGTATCACTCGTCGGGAATCAAGTGTAATTAGATACCAAGATACATGCTGTCCTCCGATTTACCGCGTGGATCTCCGCGTGGAATAAAGGGCGCAGAAAGCTCTACTGCGGAAGGGGGAATTGTAATACGTGACGGTATACCACCGGTATGTACGGGGTAAATTAGCTACTACAGCAAAAGATACTGATATTTATATCTATGTACATACGCATCCGCGCGCGCGTGACCACGTGGCGGCAAATCGATCAACCCGCGTGTCGCGACTCTCGTTAAAATTCAATCAAGAAGACAGGAGACTCAACTTATTTCGAGAATAGGACTAAAATCTGGTTTATATGGTAGTTCAAATTGTTCAAAGATGTACGCCAGGCACAGATGTTTGTACTATGTTAGATCGCTAACTTGATCAAAAGAGCTGTGTTTCGCAGGATAGCCGGTGTCGGCCATGACATCCTACAGAACATGGCGGTGGTACGTGTGGTAGTGTACATGTGAACACCCGACGTGCATGTGTGTGTGTATTGTGATTCCCGCCGTTCGCGCCAAGCGGTCAAGTATATGAAGGTTATGTTGTACTTTGTGAGTATAAAATCTCTTCCAACTGCATTCATTCACATTTGTAAAGTGTCTGGACACTTCGAAAATCTGGATACAATGTTTATTAATGTTAATAATTACAACGTAATCTTCACATATTACAAACCCCGAAATTTATTACGCATAAATATTGGGTTGACAACTAATTGCGGATTTTTTTAAAGAAAACAAAAGATAATTTTTTTATAGAACGAAATGTCTCTATTCAGTAATGTATTGTCCATTTTTGTCAATGATCTTATGCCATCTTTCAGACAGCATCATAATCCCACGTTCGTAAAACTTCTGGTTTTTATTGGCAAAAAGCTGAACCAAGTACGATTTGACATCATCATTATTGAAATTTATACCATTCAAGAAGTTTTGCAAAGAACGAAATAAATAGTAATCTGATGGTGCAAGGTCAGGACTATATGTATAGTGGATGTAGCAACACATCCCAACCAAACATGTAAGGCCACACATGTACAAACTTTAGAACGAAATAGCTGACAGTTGAGTGGTCGCCTCATCTTTGTCTAATAAGTAGTGGGGGTAACAGAAGAGTAAGGGAAATGATAAAGGGTAACCACTTAAAGTATGTTGTCTCTTTCTAAAATTTGTACACTGCTTCAGCTAAACGCGCAGTCTATGTAGTCTACGTCTATGGATCGAACACAGTATTTTTTCGATTTGCCAATTCTGATCGTTTTTATTGAATTGCATCGTTTAGTTTGGTTAGTTGTTCAATGTATACATCTGAATTGATCATTTCATTGCGTGATCAAATTTTAAACTGGATAATTCCTTTGTAATTCCGCCAAACTGATAACATGACCTTCTTTTAATGAATATCAGCTTTAGGTGTTGTTGACGCGGGTTCATCTTGCTTACTCCGCGATCTTTTTCAATTGACACTGTTATAAACAGTCTATTTTTCATTGCTAGTTATCGATCATTTAAAAATGGATCATTTTCGTTACGTTTCATAAGCAAATCGCAGATGCTAATGCGTTGTGTTAAGTGAATTTCTTTAAGTTCATGAGGAACCCATAAATCGAGTTTTTACGCAGCCAAGTTGTTTTACACGCTTTTCAATGCATCTATGTGATACATCGAGCTTTTCTGCAATCTCACGTGTTGTGCTATGACGATCCGTACAGGGAGGACAAACTCTCCGTATTTTAACGGTGGCGGAAGTTTGATTAGTTCACAACTTCGGGTCACGAGGCAGAGCGCAGCACTGTTGTTCCCCCACTACCATTGATAAAGTTATGGCGGATAACCGTGGTTATCGGTTGCAACAGTTTGCGATGACTGGCGACGATTTTAAAGTGTTGTGGGGAAATTACACCAAACGATTTTTAAAAAATGCCTTTTGCATTAAAAGAAAAATTCTACATATCCAGTAATAAAGTTTATTTCCTATCTCCCTCTACGGGAACGTCTTTTAACCGTTAGGTTATTTAGCGTGTTTTCTCGATCTGAGAAACAGCTATTACACTATCTTCCCAGTATGTCCAATAAATTAACAAATAAACTCCACCTTCTTTCAATTATCTCTCTTGATAACGTACATAATCAGTTCTACACTTTTGTTTAATTGCTAATAATATATTAGCAATTTCGATGTATATGTGTATGCACGCATCTATGTATATAGATGTCCACGTACCTTGCTCCATTCCTTATCACGTGACTTACTTTAGTTCGCCCTTTCCGGGTCATAGAGCAGATCACGTACGTCCCCCATTTTCTCAAGAGTAAGTTTGTTCCCCCTAGATCCGTATCGATTATTGTTTTGATTTGGTTATCATCAATTTCAACTGGACAACCAGAGCGTTGTTCATCTTTGAGTAAAAACTCACCAGAATGAAATTTAGCAAACCAATTTTGACATTGCCATTCTTTTAAGGTTTCATCGCCATACACAGTACATAACTTTTGGTTAGCGTGCGATGCGTTTTTTACTTTGCGGAAGTAAAAAGCGAAATATGACGAAGATACTCGTTTTGCTTTTCCATTTTTCAACCGACGCCAGACAAAAACTACACAACCGATCGATACAACTTTTGTACTGAAATGCCAATTAAAGTATCAATTATCAAACAACAATATCGGTTTGACATTTCGAATATGTAAATATACCTAAACATTCAACTATCAGTGAAATCCGCAATTACTTAGTGCCAACTCAATACATCTTACTTACTGAAATGGCAAGAAATGACTCGTTGATCGACGTTGAAACGATGCCGAATTGACGTCAAAAACATCAAATCGATATCAATTCGACATCGTTTCAATGTTGATAGACGAACTATTTATTTTTTCTCGCTGGGCGGGTATCATACACACGTCGGGTATTCACATATACACTACCACACACGCACCGCCGGCCGCCATGTGTCGGGTTTCATGGCCGAAACCGGATATCCTGCCGATCACAGCTTTTCTCTGGCCAAAGCCCGAAGTTAGTGATCTAGGCCCGTATTCATAGTCGATTCTTATTTCAAAATCATCTTAAGTATTGTCTTAAGATGCTAGTACGGCTCCGTGATTGGTTTAAAACACATTAAGAGTATACTTAAGATGATCTTAAATATAAAAACGGACTATGAATACAGGCCCTAGTATAGTATAGAAATCTGTGACACCAGGTGCATGAAGACTAGAGATTAGGAGGCTCAATTTATATGGACGAATGCGCCAGATTCTGTGCTCAAAAGTGGTTGTCGATGTTAGTACGAAATCCTAATCGAGATGTCGCTTTCGTTGCACGTAGTGTTTTCACGTACACACACGGCATCATTAATGCCTATCCATCTGACGTTGCACACGGATCGAGGTACGTTTGAAAAGCGTGTGACTTTCTAACTCTTCGTGCATTATGATTATGGAAACAGCGAATCAGCATTAACTATTAGCGTTTTCGACTGGGCCAGAATTAATGATATCATTGGGAGCGATTAATGACGTCACGAGTTTTGTTTTAGGTTACTAGACAAATAACCCAAATGCAATCCATGTTCGACCCATACCATTGTGAATTGATCCATCAGTGCCAAGAAGCTTTGTAAGATTACAATCGGGTTATACGTGCGTGTTTATTGTAGAACAAAGCATTCTTTGGTGACAATAACGCGTAAGTTTACCAATAAATATTTCGATTTTATCGTAAAATTAAAAAGAATATTGTACCTAGAACCTAATCTAACAACACATTTTCGGTCGAACATGTGTTCCTAGTATCTTCAGGTTAAACGCTCCGCGAGTGCTATGTCAGATCCAGTCAGTTGAAAACGCTATATGTTTCCACCGAAGGTGAGAGTCGGGCTAGAGTCGGGTCAGAATCGGGTTGGGGGGGGAGGGGTGAACACTTCGGTGGAAACACCAAATTCAAACCTAAACACTACCTTAGAAAATTTTAAGGTAAAACAGAATCGAGGTAAATCAAAAAGCTACTTATTACTACAATATTTATCTTGATGGCAACACTACAGGAACCTAACAAGACTCTTAATTGTCGTTTCCATCAAACCTCATTTGGTCCACTGAACCTCATTAACCTTAAAATTTTATAAGGTAGGGTTCAGGTTCGAGTTTGGTATTTCCACCAGAGCGCTCACCCGATTCTAACCCGACTTTAGCCTAACTCTGACCCTCGGTGGGAACGTAGTCATTATTGCCAGTTTCAATATAATGCACGAAGAGTTAGAAAGTCGCACGCTTTTCAAACGTACCACGATCCTCGTGCAACTTCAGATAGTTAGGCATTAATAACATCGTATATACCGCTATTTATTCCTTTTGACGTCCGATCATAGTATAACTAGTAAGTCCAATCTGTCATTTGTTTCGTTTTGCGTCGATCTCTTCTGCGCATCTGACAGTACTCTGGGCAGATCAATGAGAGAAAAGTTGCATGTGCAGTAGTGTGGCCATTGTATAACTAGTATGCCCATTCTCTGTCGGCCCTTTGATCTTTTCGATTTGAATCGCGCGGTATTCCACCATTACTTTAGTGTGCAAAATCCTTTCACATTGGGTCTGTTTTTTATTGCTGCACTCCTAAACTAGTGCACACTGGTGCAATGAGTTGGAATGAGAGGCAATCTATTTGTTTCATGTTAACTTATTGCACTAGTTCAGTAGTGCAGTAATAAAGAACAGGCCTATTGTCACATTACCACATATATAACATTCTTCTCATTGGCCACACAAAGATAATGGCGGATGCGCAGAATCAGCGCAAAACAAAACAAATGACAGAGTAGGCATACTAGTTATACTATGGTGTGGCTTTTATGAGTACGTATACACATGTTACTGGATCCTGTCCATGTGTATGGCGGAATACCACATAATCGGGACCGCAAAGATCAAAGGGGCCGACAGAGAGGGGACCTACTAGTCATACTATAGTCCGATTATCAACAGTTTATCGATCACCAGCGCCGCTTATGTATATACTTTGAACTACCATATAAACCAGGTTTTGGTCCTATTCTCGATAGCATAAGAGTTAAGTTACCTGGTCTTCAATCTTTACGACCAGGCGCTACAATCGATAAACTATTGATAATCATAAGTCACGAGGGAATAAATGGGTATGCACACTTATCCCGAGTCTACTAACATACACTCACACCGTGTACGTGAAAACGCTACGTGGAAGCAATATTTCGATCAGGATTTCATACTAGCGTCGACGACTACTTTTGGGCTCAGAATCTGACGCATCCGCCCATATAAGTTAAGCCTTCTAGTTTCTGGTCTTCATGGATCCGAAGCATTTCCGGAATGAGAATCAAGAGGTCGAGTCCCATAGACTTATATAAACAGACTGCGTGACTCGTGAGAGACTTTGAAGACAACACCGGAGAGAGAGAGAGCAATAGAGACCGTAATGGCGTCTCTGTCTGATGCATGAGGTGGTGGAGGAACACGAAAGTCGGAAAGCAGCGTTGGCGGGGGATGACGGGGTGGACAATTGCTCACATCAGCTGCTATTCTGTTAGACTGTATCGTGTAATTTGTTCAGATAACATTACCAAAATTGTCGCATATTGTTGCTTATATAAAACAGAACAAGGAGTTAATGTAAATATTTCTTGGATACTTTCAAAGTATCAGCGAACGAGCTACGCACAAGATACCATACGCAGCATATCAACTTCTTAAAATAATTTTACTTCAAAGTTAATATTAAAAAAGAATGATTAACTATTCTAAACAATACATGACTGACTAATTAATTTTATTTAAATACAAAAGAATGTTGACCAGGCTAGAATTTGCAATATGAGCTTAACAGTCGCGCTTTCATATCTTTACCCATACATATGTCCTCCCCCCCCCCCACTCTTTGCGTATAAGAGAAAGGCAGCATTACGGACGAACTAAAAACCCTGTAATCAGAGATTGGCCATAAGAGTTCGTCAAATTCCTGCGAATGAGAGAGAAACATAATCTCACTCTTCTACGATCGTAACAATTTCTCTCTTACTCGCAGGAATTTGACAAACTCTTATGGCCAGTCTCTGATTACAGGGTCTCTAGGACGAACTAGCTCTGTCCTTCAAATTTTGGTTTCAGCTCGGCCCGTATGAAGGCGCAGTCTACATATATAAGTCTATGTCGAGTCCTTGCTTTGAGGACGCTTCCGTCTCGAAGGATTTTTGCCGTGAAATCCGGCGGGAATAGACGTCCTTACACGGGTATATGTTGACGTGATATATGAATAAACGGACATAGAAACAAGTGTTCAATAGGCACGGTTTCAAAGATACGGTGGGACACTGCAGAGATTACTTATATCCAGGCGCTATGTGATGAGATATATTTGAGAATCTAGGAAGGACTTACGAATACATTTAGCCACTGTCTACTTATCTACGAAGAGTTCTACGATACCCCGGAATCGCGGAATAAACGCTGCTTTCGAATTGTAACGCACGCCGAAATTTGTACTTGGGGTGCGATCCCCGTTTCACGCATGATGCATAATTTATCCTTGTTATTCACCAAATGTTAAAGAAGGATCAACAATGCATATCATGCGTGAAACGGATTGCACCCTTGGTCAACCGATCATGTCAGAGCATGTTGCAACTTGCAAAAGTTGCAAGTTTGCAAAACAATTCGCAATAGTTCCGAAAATTTTCTTTAATCTACGAACTTGGAAAATAAATTCTTAACCTACGCTCGTATGACATTTCGTTTCTTGCTCGATCTCAGATTTATCGTCTGAAATATTACGTATAATTAAAGATAACACTGCATTTGCATGTTTCACGTGGCTATTACGCTGAAATAACCTAAGTTTCCAAAAAACTTTAAGTTTATTAATTTTAAGCCGCCAAATGTAAAACACTGTAAATTAATAGCTTAAGCCAAAGCATTTGGCTTCTAGTGTTATTAATTACGATCGATAAGCACAATAAACTTCAACTTGATTGCCGTTCATCAAACTGAGTTTGCAAACTTGTTCAATTATTTGTTACTTAACTATCGCAGAAGTCGTTTGCGTTACTCTTCATTTTATTTAAGAAAGCTTCGAGAAGTGGCTAACAATTTACGCTAAACTCTAGATCTACATCTCTCCTGAAAGATCATCTGAGAAATTGTTTCAGTTGACACGCACTCGCGTGTATTTCGCGATCCGGTTCCGATCAATTACGTTTCGATCAATTATAGGACAATCACTTGTAGATGTGGATAACGGTGAGAGGGGAGGAACAAAGTTTTAGTAAGCGATTAGCATGGAATAAGAGTATTTTTAATGATTTCAACAACAACAGGTACAGTAACCAGTGTTTACCTGCAGTAAATACGTTGGTAATTATTCTCTTTCTCACAATTCTGTCTTTCTCTCTTGCACGGTGTTTGCCTCCTACTATTATCCTACTAGCCGCTTAAATCTATGTCTCATTACCGTCTTTTGCGCTTACCCATCTATATATATGGATAACCAAATTATTTACGTGATTACTAGATCTTTACTCTAGTCAGCTGTCTAGCTAGCTAATTCTATTCTAGTTGTGTACGTGTGTGTATGTGTGTGGATGTGTACGGTTGCAGAGAATTTGAGTTTCCTTCTACTGCCAATGATCTTATCATTTTTCTTAGTCGTTTTGTCAGCGTCTATCAGCTCGGTAAAGATGCATTGTTTAAGAGACGTGAGGTGTCTCCAGCGATAAAAGATTCGAAATAAGACGAGTGTTAGTACCATGCGGATCAATACTTCGTACTCCGTTACTTTTGCATCGGTCGCATGTTTGCGAACACGTGGCGAGATTCGCGAGAGGAAAATAATGAAATCATTGTCAGTGGAACAGAAGGGGCGAAAGAGTGGGCGCTACATCGGAGCTTCTCCGAAGGAAATACGGGAAATACAGAAATATATATATCAATCTCAACTTTGTCTCCCTTACACGATTGACTTACGCTACGGAATAGATTCGTGTCTTCCACACAAACGAATTAATAAATAAGTAAATAACTAACTACATCGTGTGTACGTGTGCGATCGTCACGATCGTTCGATATCGCGGCTTCCCGCCTCAAGGTTTCAGCGAGGCGGTCTTTTCAAATTGATATCGAAGCGATATCGTACGCGCGACGACGATCGTCGAACAATAATAACGACCATAATGATCAATGGCATATAATATATGGAAGAATATACTGGAGACATACGTGTGCTTGATTGATAACAGATTACATGTCTCGCAGAGAGCTAATGATACTTAGTGATAAGGTCGAGCTTTTCAATGATCACGTAAGGTATATTGCTACTAAGCTACGTTTTACGCTAAAGGCCGAAGCAAATCCGGTCTTCGAAAGGCCGTCTCTCGTCGGACATGAACACAAAACTCATATTCTTCTCCTCCTCCTCCTTCTTGGAGAGGGAGAGAGAAAGAGAGAGAGAAAGAGAGGGAGAAAGAGAGAGAGAGAGAGAGAGAGAGAGAGAGAGAGAGAGAGAGAGAGAGAGAGAGAGAGAGAGAGAGAGAGAGAGAGAGAGAGAGAGAGAGAGAGAGAGAGAG